ATATTTCCTACTGCATTTTCTGCACTGTAATGTTTCTAGCAAATGCAACATCTATAGCAGCGGAAAGTGTTAGCACTATGACATTTCAACACCTGCGTAGTCTTTTTGAAATTGCTAGGTAATCTACTGGTGGGATTCTTTGAGTTAGGAGAAGATACATAATATTTATTATAGGAATCAAAAAAATTAAAAATTATCAAGAATTTGATCGATTATCGCGATGAAAGATATCAGAGCATTTGATTATAGATCGATGATAAATATTCAAACATCAATTTTGTACAATAATTAATTACACACCGTGAAGGTTAATTTCACGTAGTAAAAAAGTAATTTTTCTAAAAATTACGCAATGCTTCAATTTAGGCTAATTTTATAATTTACAGTAATCGTATAAAAGAAGCATTTATCTACAATTCTTTGCACGATTCTACCTCCAGCAAAACTTTCAAGATGACAGAGAGTTTAAAAAGTTCGATACACTTACATGTGAAGTGTATAAAGTAGGTATCGAAGCAGTTGCACTATTGTACTGTTATATCGATTTTTTATTCCATAATAATTGCATTTATATAATCTTCTTTGTTTAACGTTGTTTATCGTAATCATTGAAGAGTTCTCATGTACTTGAAACAAACCTACATGGTGTTAAGTTTTCTTCTATGCGGGTTCGGAGTGTTAATTCTAGGGATTTCACTGTTTCTAGTAAGTAAGAATTCGAAGGAATAATTTAAAAACAATGTTCGAAATATAATTACTGATTAAACGTACGTATTTTCAGTGTTTTCAATCGTATCTGCTTCACAGGATTAACTATATACTTCTATACGTAATAATTTCCATGATCGAAATCGTTTGCTTATTTCGCGTGAATTATACGACTCAAACGATGCTGGATGCTTACAACAATGTTTTCGTAGAGTTGTACGTATATATTTTTTATTATATCATATTTTACATTTTATAAGCGTACAATGACAAGATGTTACAACCTTTACACACCGCTAAAATTCTACTTTTTTTTTACCGAGCAATGTTTTAATCTATAGGATTTATAATCTATACACTACCTAAAAGTAATTGTAAAAATTGATTACACACCGTGAATATTAATTTCACGTAGTAAAAAAGTAATTTTTCTAAAAATTACGCAATATTTCAATTTAAGCTAATTTTACGTGAAGAAAGAAGAAAAATCTTTCATGTAACATTTTTTTATTTGAGGCCTTGTTTTTGAGAAAATCGACTTTGGAAATTTGACAAATACACTCGAATATTTTACATTCGGCTAATTCCGGATTGAACAAGAGTAAATGATCGACAGGTTTAAATTAATTAAATTAAAAAAACAATTACATTTAAATAAGATGTGGAATAAAATTTTGTCATAAGATATTTCGTGCTTGTTCGAGAAAAATAAATTTGAAGATATATTATGCTTACACGCATGCACACAAAACCATTCGTTTTCAATTAATCCTCGTTTAAGTTCTATCTTCTTGAAAATGAATCCTTCAATGGAAAATTTTCACTTCACGTTTTTTTACTTATTTCCGTATGTATAATAACCTCCTGTTGATTGTGTTTGCTCATACATAGTCAGTCTTTAGCCAAGTTAAAATATACTTGATAAATTTTCAAACTCGATTTTCCCAGAAACGAAGCGTGATATGAGAAAATTGTATCCTACTTATTTTCGACTTATTTTTTCACGTAGAATCTGCGCCCGCACGATTCTACTACGACTAACGCGCCACCCTGTATATTACTGACGTATTAATAAATTACATTTCTAGATATAATGTAGAATGGTACGAGGCACCGTTGCACGTGCAAAAAATAATCCTGTTTATGATGTTAAAATATTCATTTCCTCTTTCTTTCAATATGTTTGGTGTTTTCTCTGCATGCATGGAAGGATTTTCCTCGGTAAGAAATTCATTAGCATCGTAAAATTTTGTCCGCGGTAAACAAGTAAATAGATTTTTATATGTGTTTTAGTTAGCAAGAATGACCGTGTCTTATTTCATGGTAATCTATTCAATAATGCGTTAATCTAAACGCTAGAAGAGATGTGTATTCTGTGTTATACAGTGTTGAATAAAATGCAGGATTATGTCTTGGTTCGCTTGTAGAAGAAATTGTTCCACTTACCTATTTTCAATATATTAATGTTTGAGAAAGTAGCAATGATAAAGGTTACATATTTGTTTACTTCAATCTTGCAATTATCGTTGACAGATATTCTTTACGTTATAAGCGGCAGATGTTTCTTTAAAATTTCCAAATCCATTTAAATTCCCGGTTTCAATGCTAGAAAACGCAAAAAAAAAAAAACAGATTATATCAGAAAATATATGCACGCGGGTTCTCCGTACGCATCAGATGCAAATGATCTATGTTGAAATGCAAATATTTTGATGTGCTTTCACTTCGAGCGAAGAAAATAGACTGACGATGGTAAAGAAATATTTTTATCGCAGATCGAAGGAAGTAAAAAAATATGAGAAGAAGAAAATTGTCACGAAGGATACTACTCATTTCCCCCTTTCCCTGACCTATAATTATCTTATATGATAACTTATTAAATATTTAAGACCTATACGTAGTTGAGTGACGGAAGAAAATCGATCGTTTGAGATATGAATAAATAATTCTGAAATTATAGTTCATGGGGTTCATTTCGCTGAGAGTCAAGAAATTTTTGCAATATTTTGCTGGAAAATTTTTAAGAGAGGTGGAAATAAATAAAATCGAAGATGTAAATGATCAGTAGTTCTTGAACCATTGTACACGATGGTCGAAACACTGGCGTACTATAGTCTCAGCAAAACTCTCTTAAGAGGACTAGGACTTTGGCCGTATCACAACAAAAGATTTAAAGTTTTACAAAACAGTTTCATCAGCTTCAATTTCTTTCTTTTTCTAATGGCCCAGGTGCTGTAATTATTCTCTTATGTAATTTAACTTTCGTTTAACTTTCATATTTCCTTGAGTTAGATACAATGGCGAGAATATAAAGGGTGGTTGGTAACCGGTGGTACAAGCGAAAAGGGGGTGATTCTATGCGAAAAAAGAAGTCGAAAATATAGAATAAAAATTTTTCTTTTAATTTTTTTTTTTTTTTTAATTTTTCCATCGAGACGAGATCCGTTATAACGTGCCGCACGCGTACCGAGCGAAATGCGAAGTCGATTTTCTCGAAAACAAAGCCTCAAACGAAAAATTTTTATTGTATATTTTCGACTTCTTTTTTCACGTAGAATCACCCCCTCTCCGCTTGTATCACCAGTTACCAACCACCCTGTATACTAACTAATTACATTATGAATAAGTTTATTTCTATTTTTTTTTTCCTTTAATATAGAATATAATAATACATTACTTGTATTTTGAAACTCTATAAATCTCCATCGAGATTTCAAATGCTCAATAAAAAAATATATACACGACGACAATCAAATTTTCTTTTCGATCAATAATTACGAATTAGATAGAGTTGAATTTGATGCGAGAACTCCGCTATTTATCGTATATGTACACTTGTTGTTGAATCTTCTATTGTACAAAATTTCCATTCTTGTTACATAGAGCTACACTATTTTCAGTGTTTTGTTTTCAAGACTAGGGAATTCATGTTGAAGAATGTGTCGACGCTAATTATGAACTTTGGCTACTTCGTAAGGTACAATATAAATTGGTACCAACTTCCTAGAGTGAGTTTTCAAAAATACAATTAAATTATAATTTAAAGAACATTTTGCAAAAACGAACGTAAATATAGGCCAAGAAAATTATGGATAAAATAAAAGAAGACCTGGAAACGGAAAATGGCGAAGTACTTCAAATTATGAAGGATCATGCTTTTATAGGAAGACGTTACGGGATACAACTTTCATGTAAGAAACATATTTTGATAAATTGTTGACCATAACGAATTAACGTATTTAAAAACGTTAAAGAATTGAACGTATGAAATAATATATCGCAAACTTTATAATTTTATGTATATGTTACAGTAATTGTATATTTATCATTAATCTTCGTAATACTGTACCCCCTGTTAATCTGTATTCAAGATGGAAGTATGTCATTGAACCAAATTTGTTTCACAAAATTTTGCATAGCAACGGAATATCTAATGCTCGAAGAGAAATGCTTTTTACTCACAGTTTTACATTCGTACTTATCGACAATGATTTCTATAACTGTTTTTCTGGCATCAGAGTCCTTAACAATTATGTGGCTACAACATGCTGTTAGCTTGTGCAAAATTACGAGGTATAACGAACAATAATTAACTGTCCAGTGCACTGTTTACCTGTTTGAGGTTGCTCGACACATCAGTAGTGATCAGTGTTTTATTTGGAAGTAACAGAACACATATATTAATATGAAAGAAAATATTTTTTAACTGATTTACAATAAGATTTTTAAAATATTATCACCGCTTTACTAATTTTCTATTTTACATTAATTTACGATGTAATCTGTTCTATAAGTTATATATACAAGAATATGCACATTATACATTATTTATATTTCTTACGTGTTTTAAATGCTGTTTATATTATTTAAATTTTCAGTTATTACGTAAGAAAAGCCACTCTCGAGAACGCAAAAAATCATTTCGATCGTAGAACTAAAGAGGACATAGCAAAAGTCGTATTCGCTCAGAGTAGAGCAATACAGTCAGTATGGCTTTATACTCATTTGTACCATTATTGTAAGACCAGCTTATTAATTAGTTCCGTTCTCATAGATTTTTTCAAGAATTGCAGAATAATAACGTATTAACATATGGCGTAATCCTTCTGTGTAGTATCATTTCCCTAGGAATTAATTTATTTTGTGTAAGTAGTGCATAAACTTCTATCTTTTACACAACAATCTTTCGTTAATTTTCCATGGTCTCTGAAGCTACACAACTTCGTAAATTTCTAGTAGAAATTCTATATTTTTTACTATTAATCCAATTTCAATAATAAGAATATTCTTGTACCATTAAAATATGGAATACCAGGATCCGATATCGTTTTACTTATTTCCCAGTTATCGCAGTCCTTGCTTCCTTTATCCGAAATCGAGGAGGGGTCAATTACCTATTGTTTATTTATTATTTGCCAATTAACGTTTATGTTCCACATAAGTAATATGTGTCAACAATTATTGGATTATTCCAACAATCTTCATACAGCAATGTAAGCATTTCATTTTTTGCTAACGAATTTAATAACTAAATTTAGAAAAAACTTTAAATGCTACATACTTTTTTAATGTTTCTAGATTTCACACCAACTGGTATGAAACTTCTTTAACAACTCAAAAATTGATTTTGAATATCATGTTGAGAAGCAGCAAACCATTCTTATTCAGTATCTCTGGTTTTTATGATGGAACACTGAATAGTTTTCTATTGGTATGCTATTTTTTAAATAATGCTCTCTTGTTGTTTGAATGCAACGTGGTTTATGGTTTACTTACACTTTTAGTTCTTAAAAGCATCGATATCGTATTTTATGATGATATCATCGATACAGTAGTGGGACTTTATCAACGACGAAGTAGCGTATAGCCGAAAATTGTGTTGAAATAATTGTATTAAAATGAATGTTAAATTAAATAATTCATCGTAAATAACTTTTAATTGAACAATTAAATTTGTTGTGGAAAATTGCACATGTTCCTGAATTTATAATTAGATCCTTCCTTATCCTTATATTATCTGTTTACGTATATTTTCGAAACAAAGGATTTACTTAACTTCGCACTGTGACGAGCAAATTTAATCCAAAGTATTCTATCACTTCAATGACATATTTCTGTGAAAATACTCACTGACGCACAAAGCAAGTTCTGCTACGTTGTAACACATAAAATGTCTGATACTTAACATATCATATTTCTGAATCCTTAAAAAAATGCAGTTTCTGCATGTAAAAGTAAAAAAAAAAAAAGAAATTGAAGTGTTATATGGAAAAGGAAGACCTTCAAATTTAAAATGATGTATAAAATAATGATATGTTGCTACAAAAGGATAGAAATATTTCTTGAAAGAAATGTTTTGGACGCTTAACACACAACAAAGAAAACAGACTGAACGTGCTCGAGAAATATTTTCATCTCAGACTAAATTACGATATAAAGAACAAAATTTTTCAGAAGGAAGCTTCACATATTTCTTTTTTTACGACGTATAATTTAGTTAGTAGCGATACTCACATTTGGTGCACATTCTCATTTTTCAATCGAATAGAACGGAATAATAAAACATCAATAAAAGGCAATAAACAGAAATAGATGCAGCAAATATTAACACCAAAAGCCAGTCGAAAAAAACTAAGAACAGCAAACGATAATGCCAAAAAGCAGGAAGAAAATTATTATAAATATATATCTCAAAATATATATCTCAATGAAAAATGAGAATAAACAAATAAACGAAAAGTATCGTACTATTTGTTTATGTCAACGAATATAATTCCTTTCTGATCCTTCCTAATTGAAGCGTATCCAATAACAAACACCATAGAAAAGTGATTCCTACTCCTTTTCTCTTCGACCAGCTAAAAGACACTGAAAACATCTCGGGTATATTTCTAACGCAGACCCCTGTGACAAAAGCTCGTGAGAAACATAAAAGAAAATTATGAAACTTCCTCTTTTCAGTAACGTATAATTTCCTTAATAATGCACTTTACATAGTCGCAGAGGGGTATCGAATCGATCGATAGCACAGCGTTTAAGTATGAATAATTAATCTTTAAATTGTAGATTATGCCACTCATTTGACTGCAAGAGGACAAAGTTTCATAATATTTGCGAAAATTTGTAGGAAGATTGAAATGGGGTGCAAATATAGTCAATAGTGTTTCAATCCTTGCACACGATGGTTGAACCGGCAGCCCTTTATAAACGTAGCATTTTACTGCTATCGTGGGTAGGACTGTGGCCGTACAACAATACGAAGTTTAGATGGCTTCATAATAATATCATCTGCTTTATTTTTCTCTCTGTTGTAATTCCCCAGGTATAATTCCTGTTACGTCGTTTCTACTTTTCTGTGTAACAGTGATTTGAAATTTAAGGTATCTGAGTATCAGCTAATTAATGTATGATTAAAGTTTAAAGATTTAATTCCTATTTTTTAATTTATATAATGCATTGAATACTGGCTGTATTTTTTATAAATCTTGTCATGGAATAATGGGACAAATTCTAATGGAAATTCTTAAGCTAAACCGATGAAAGTAACTTGTGACTCGTTGTTATCTTGTTTAAATGGAAGAGATTCTGTGATATCTTTTAACTGGACTACAGCGTGTTAGAAAGTTTCCATAAATTAAGAAATAGATTCTATAAATTTCTAAATTTTATAAATTTTATATTTTATTTATTATTATATATATATTTTTTTAATTAATAAACACTATTTTCCGTAAATTTATTGAACAACATAAACGTTTAAATAATAATTATATTTTATTTCATGAAATTTTTATTTAAAAGAGAAACTGCAATGTTTATGTGTAACTTTCGTTATTTTCAGCTGTTTGTTCTCAAAACCGCAGAATTTACTCTATATGTCCTATCGAACAGACTGTACCCTATCATAACGTGCTTGTACGTGGTACTTAGATACAACATGTTCTGGTATCAAATAAACGTAGTGAGTCTCAAGAATTGTAGTTCACAAAGTATTATTTTTAATTTCTCGTATTTTCGTACAATAGACTTAGTTAATAATACGATATATTCTTCTTGTAATATACCAACAATTTTCAGGAAGATTAGCGTCAAATATTTGTATAATGTATCCAATGTAACTCTGCTTGATTTTTAGAATTCTTTTAGAATACACGATTAATTTAAGGCGACTCTATAAATAAAAATGAAGCAGAGTCGGGTCAAACATATACTTAAGGAAGTAAATTGTTTGCTTTTGAAGAATTCAACATTAATCGCGTATCTTACTAATGAAATTGAGAAATCTAGAAAAAATACAGCTGATCAGTGCGATTTAAAAAAAAAAAGAAACCTGTAGAGTTGGTAGTGTTGATAACGAACCTGTTAAATTAATGTTGGTAACGAATCTGTTAAACTAGTGTTGGACAAACATGAACTAACGATCGGTAAATATAATGCGAGCACAATTATAAAATCCAGGTTATGGAATTAATGGAACAAGTGAAATACGACTGGAAGATGAACCATGGCGAGCCTCTTAAGATTCTAAAGAAATACGCTGCATTAGGAAAACGTTATTCAGTGGTATTAATTGGTAAGAAATTAATACGAAAAGATAAAACACAAAATAATGTGTAACTCTACTCGATTGCAAATTTGTTACAGCAATAATATATCTAGGAACATTTATCCCAATAATATGCCACATGTTTAGCTATATTCTGTGTATAATTGTATCCACGAACATAACTTGCCAGTATAAATTTCCAATGATGATGGAATACTTCGTCGATGAGAAGAAATATTCCTTTTTCATTACGTTGCATCAGTATTTCTTGTTAATCCTGGATGCTACTATACTAGCCGGAATAGAGACTTTAATGGTAACGTGGTTCCAACACGCTAGCAGTTTATTTGCGGTCGTGAGGTAAAATTAAGAAATTAATTATCAAAGAGAAAAAATATAAATTACAGTTTACTTTTTAGTAAATCCGATTAAAAAGAAAACTATGTTCAATCATTACCGGTATTCGTATTACTAGGCTACAGATGTTTAAGCAAATTGAAATTATTACGAAAAACTGAAAATGAAAAACTGAGATTTGCATTATTCTCTAAGTTCTACAATGTGCATTATATTTTTGATATTTATGTTGTATTTCTTTTATTTTTTATAAGCTCGATCATCTGCTCAAGATAAGTTATCGTTCATAATTTGCAGTTATCACATTAAGAAAGCAGTTTTTGAAGATTGTATTCAATCACACGTCTCACGAAAATATTTGAACAGAAATAGCAAAAGAAACGTAGAGAACGTGATAAATGCACACAGGAGAGCAATGGAGTTAGTATTTTCCTACCTTCATATGTCTAGTCACGATTCTTATACTTACAGTTTTCTGTCTAATCGTTTTTATCTGTTACTAAAGGTACGCATACAATTTACGAGACAAATACATGTTTTCTTATGGTACTTACCTTATATTCGTTATCATATATCTGAGCATTAATTTGTTTCTCGTGAGTAACATACTGTTCTTACTACTCATTAATAGAAGATAAGATATTTGAAAATTGAATGAAATTTTTGAAAAGTGTCTATAAAAAAAGTGTATTTAAAACATTTATTATCACTGTTTTCTTATTCGATTATATTATATATACGAAACTACTTTTTTCCTACAAAAGAAACACGTTTTTCAGTTAACTCAATCAGCATTTCTATACAGAAATATCGAAGAAACGATTATCCACCTAGTTTCTCTCAGCTGCATGCTAATATGCATGGTCCTCTTCAATTATATGGTGCACCTTACTTCAGATGCCGCTGATAGCATTGTTACAATCATGTGAGCTTCAAAAATATTAAAAAAATTCAATTAACAACAACGAAACAATATAACAAATTTTTTAAATTACTACCTTACATTACTATTACAAATTCACAGATACCACACCAATTGGTACGAAGCATCCGTACCTTTACAGAAACTGTTATTGATAATCATGATAAGGAGCATCAACAGTTTCACTTGCAATTTCTTCGGTTTCTACACTGCCTCGATGGAAGGAGTTTCAATGGTACAACCTTTGCCAAATTTCATAAATCGTCCTCTCGTGTCGAGGCAATACCGTCATTATCGCTGTCCTTGAAATCTATTTTTCAGATCTTGAGAAAGTCAGTTTCATATTTCATGGTGATAATCTCCATGAAGTGACAGTCCCTTCTCGTCCATAGATGTAATATCTAACTAATAGAAATTAGTAGCATTGATTTAGACGCGTAAAAAATGTATTCAGAAACGCAAATGCTAAACATCAAATGTCACAGTATCGTCAAATAATAATGAAATCACATTTAACAGAATTCTTTGATATAAACTCTTTATAAAAAACAATATTCTTTATTCTTTCGGGATGAAGTTCACGAAGTGAATGAAACCCGACGCATTGCCTTGATTCAACCCTAAGTTCACAGACAAACAACGACACATACTAAGTACCTTATTAATAACAAAAGACTTACGAAGAAACGAAAAAAGAATTATGAAGAAGAGTGTCTCACTGTTTTCTCGAAATTGAATTGTTTTCGTAAAACAACCCTTTCGCTTCGGCAGTCCAGTTCGCCGAAATACTGTCACTGAACGGAAACGCGCGCCAGAAATACACACAGTGTGCGTGGTTGCTGTATATATGTTTTTCTAAGTCTTAAATAACAATAATTGTTGCAAGAACCGTATATGAAATATCGTTTCACTGTCAATGGATTTAATAGATTTTTTAAGATGAAACAGTATATGATCGTTTGGATGTTTGAAATATATTGCGTAAAACGTTTTGATGTTGTTTCAACAATGAGTAACTTTGAGAAATGATTAATCCAATATGTCAATAAAATCAACAGCAAATGTTCTGCTGATAACGAAAAAATATATTATTGACTACAGATAGCACTTGTATATGCATCATTTGGATGCCG